GACATATTTCCTAACCAAATCTTAATTTAAAATTAACAATGTATATTAATATATCAACCTCAATAATCAAAGTCTTAATAATCATGCACATATTAATCTTAATTATAATCAAAATTTTACTGTTACAGCCTAAACATGACTACATATATCATTAAAATTAAAGTCAAAATTAGAATTTTTTTTTTATTATTTAACAAAAAATTGATTGTAAATTAAAAAAAAATAAAAAATTACTATGAATGCCCCTAATTCACTAAAAACTTCACCCTAAACAACATTTATAGTCTAAAAAGCACCTAAGATAGTATATATATAGTCCAATCAACAACAATATTTATCTAATTTTGCAATAAAAAAAATAATAATAAAATACTTGCAGCAACACATTTGGCAACTCTGCGGGAGAACAAGACCAATGAATTTAGATCACCAATCTACAAATGCAAGTTAGGGGTCTTGTAAATCCCAAAAAAAAAAAAAAAAAAAAAGAACTTGATCAAAATTGGGGTAAGCTTATTCTTGGAAAAAAAGGGCAAGCAATAGATCTGTAAAACTTACCCAAAGAGGTGCAAAAACTTGGTGTTGCTACGGCTAGTGGCAGACCTATGTTTACCAAAGAACAAACCAAATTGAGAGGAGAAAGAGGACAAAATGGAAAAAAAAAAGAGCCAGAAGCCATGTATAAGGATAAAACATAACTAACAACCATGGCTATCATTTATATAGATTATATTATTTATAAATTAATAAAACATAATCGATAGTAAAAATTATGTTGATTATATATTTATTTAATTAATATTTATAATCGACAGTCAAAAGATGTCGATTATACTAACATATTCAATAGAATTTTTGCTAACTAAAAAATTTGTCGAATATATAATATAACAATCTATATAATTGTCACATTTTCATAATCGATAGAAATTATGTTGATTATGTTAATATAATCGACAGTTTTTTTGATGTCAATTAAATTTTTGTCGGTTAAATGTTATTTTCTAATAGTGATAATTATATTATTTAATTTATTGGTAAATTATAATTATACTATTTAATTGATTGAACAATTATAATTACATTGATTATATTCATTTTTAATTTTAATTTAGAAAATATGTTTTGCAAATTATCAAATTTGATATATTATTATTTGTGTGAGAATATGAATTTCTTTTAATAAAAATTTAAAGAAATATCTCACATGTTGGGTGATTAAAGTTGGATGTATTATCATTTAGATGATAATGGCTATTTTATTGATGAATTCAAAATTGGCATGGAGTTTTTTTTGGATTATGTATTTTCCAAATCCAATCCAAAATTTTATAGTAGAAATCACATTAGATTTCTATGCAAGAAATCCATGGATGAAGAATGGCATCATCATGTCATGGTGTAATGTCATTTGATAGAAAAAGGTTTTATGAAATGGTATCTAGTTTGGCTTGCACATGAAGAGCAATCAATGTGAAAGCGACACCATCATCAGTGAGGTGAATCCTCAAGTGCAGTTCCCTTTGTGCTGGAAGCACATGGTAATGATTCAATTCAAAAGATGGTTATGGATGCAATGAGTCCAAATGGCATAAAATATAATATGAATGAATATGCCAGTGAAGACCCAATATTTAAAGAGGCTATGGTAGATGCAAAGGAATTTTTTTATCTTTTGTAAATTGCTAACACACTGCTTTATGATGGATGTGATGAGAGTGATACAATACTCAAATGGGTGTCTCATTTTACAAATGCAAAGACACTTTATAATACAAGTGTGACTAATTAGGATTATGTGTTAAAGTATAGTAGGAGATGGATTAAGTTGGAGAATTGGGATAGGATTCCAAAAAATTTTTACAATGCTAAAAAGATGATGAGGTGCTTTAGTCTAGATTATAAGAAGTATGATATTTGTGCAGATAACCACTTCTTATATTACAATGAATATGAAAACAAAAACTGCATCACATGTCTAATATGTAGTGAACCTCATTATAAGTAGGGGCATATGCAACAAAATCAACATATACCAAGGAATTCATTTGTGGTACCTCTCAATTACACTTAGATTGAAGAGGTTATATATGTGTAAAAAATTTCCAAGCACATGACATGGCACTTTAGTTGTGGTGGTGTATCTAAAAAGATCATTCATCTTACTAGTGCTAAGGCATGGAAACACTTTAATTGCACTTACCCTGACTTTGGGTCAAATCTAATGAACATAACGCTTGGACTGTGCACAAACAGGTTCACTCCATTTGGACATACCACAACCATATATTCATGTTGGTCTATATTTTTTACTATTTACAACCTATCTCCATCAATATGTATGACACTGGAGTTCATCTCTCTTTCTCTAATAATCCAAGGCTTTCATAATCTAGGAAAAAACATTGATGTTATGCTACGTCTACTGATTGATGAACTAAAGGAACTTTGATATAATAGGGTCAGGACATATGATAGCTTTAAGCATCAACATTTCATTATGAGGGTGACACTTATGTGGACAATTAGTGATTTCCTTGGATATGGCATATTGTATAGATGGAGCATGTATGGTAGATTGTCATGTCCGTACTATGGGAAAATTTCTAAGGCATTCCACCTCCCAAATGGTGGGAAGGTATCATTTTTTTATTGTCACTGACGGTTTTTACCCCCTAATCATCCATTTAGGAGCAATAGGAATAATTTTAAAAATGCCTTATAGAGAATCTTACTCCACTAGAGAGATGGTCGTGCGATGATGCGTTTCGACAAATTCAACAGTTGCTCGATATACAATTTGGAAAGCTATCCCAAAAGTAGGTGATTGAAAGATTTGGTGATTGGCATAATTGGGTTAAAAGAAGCATATTTTGGGAGCTTCCCTATTGGAGCACAAACTTAATCCACCATAACTTAGATGTAATGCATTTTGAGAAAAACTTTGTGATAATATCTTTCACACTGTTGTGGTGACCCAGTGACAATGGACAACTTGAAGGCAAGGATGGATATGGAATTGTGTTGCAATAGGCCACGTTTTTGTATACCAAAAAGCGGCTCTAATGCAAGTAAAACATTAAAAGCTAATTGTGTCTTAAATAAGGAATAGAGAAAATCGATGTGCAAGTAGCTAAAAAATCTTAGATTTTTTAATGGTTTTGCATCCAACATCTCTTGGTGTGTGAATATGTAGGAGGCAAAAGTTAATGCGATGAAGAGTCACAATTATCACATATCCATGCAAAGCTTCCTTGTAATTGCATTTCATGATTTTCTCCCAAAACAAGTTTGAGAAGCACTTACAAAGATCAGTGAGTTTTTCAAAGCCTTACATTCTTTAGCCATTCATGTTACAAATATAGAGATTTGGCATGTTAAGATTGTAGAAACAATATGCCAACTTAAAAAATCCTCCCACTTTTTTTTTATTTGATGGAGCATCAACAATTCACCTTCCATATGAAGTCAAGGTGAAGGAACAAATGCAATTCCATTGGATGTATCTATTCGAGAAGTATTATTAACATAATTTTTTTATATCAATAATATAAAATTTAATACTCTTTTTATAATCTTTTCATGAACTAGACAAATGCAATGGATTGAAGGGTTCGATAAAAAGTAAAGCATGTCTAGAAGGATCAATATGTGAGAATTACATAATAAGTGAGATGTCATACTTTATCTTGCTTTATTTTGAAGAAGAAGAGGAAACAAGAGGTGATCGCGTCCCCAAAAATCTTGTTGGGTTAGCCCCATCTATCAATATTGGCCTTTCAATATTCAATAATCTTAGAAAACCAATTGATTCTCTACAATAACAATGAGTGTTGACAATAGAGGAGCATAATGTTGTAATGTATTAAATTTTAATGAATTATGAGGAATTGAAAGGATGGATTGAATGAGTGTATTTCCATAAACATTATACTTAATTACATTTAAAAAATTAATTGAACTATTTTAATTTACACATGATTATAATGGATGGTCGATTAGGGCTTTCAAAGAGAAAGAATGTCAGAACATGAGTCCCCAACAAATACAGATAAAATATTCCAATTATCTTGTATCAAGGTTTAAAAAATCAGTAAGTTTAATCCTAAACTTTAATTACTATTAATTAATTATAATAAACATATAAGTAATAAATTATAACTTGTGTAATATAGGTTTTACATGATGAGTTTGAGGACATTGATGAACATTTGATTAGTTTGACTTGTGGCCCTTCTTGGATAGTTTCATGCTATAAAATATTTTGGATAAATGGTTTTTGATTTCACACTATCTCATATGGGGGAAAAAATGATGTAAAGCAGTGTGTGCATCACAGGAATCACAGGAACATAATTAGATTTGGATTTTTATGGGTTGTTGTAGTAAATGATTGAGCTTCAATATGTTAGATCGAAACATTAAAAAATGGTTGTTCTATTTAAATGCAATTGATACGAAATTCCTCCTACATAAGGAATTGTGGTTGACCAAAAACACCATGTTGTTGATATTAATCTAAATAGAAAACTTAGAACTTATGAGCCTTTCATCTTGGCAAGTCAAGTTAAACAAGTGATAGGAATCAAGATGACCGCACATGTACCATGTCAAGAGATTCATTACACATTCTAGAAGGTCTAGTCACGAGAGCTAGAGTTAGGAAGATGCGAAAAGTTTTAAATGGCCTTATTGAGCAAATCTAGGTTGATAACAACATGCAAGTAAATTGAAGCTTGGATGATTATCAAGGCATGGTAAACATCATTCAGGTTCAGGAGAAGCTTAATTGAGGTCATTTATGGTAATTACATAGTTTGCGTCAAAATCCCGCAATTCTGCTGCCATTTGTAACAATTTGATATTTCATGTTACTTTAGATTATTTTTAGTGATTTTCAC